CTAAAGTAAGAGTTTATATTCTTGTAAATTCAGAAATTGTAAAAACTGGATTAATGTTCGTGCAAAATGCCAAAAAAGTAGCAAAATGCTGAAAAAGTCTAAGTTGGTTTTCTTGAAATTGCCAGGAAGTAAGAGTTCTGTTTTTACAAAGTGCTAAAATAAAATAAATTAATAAAAAATTTTAAAAATAAAATAAAAAAAAACAAAAACAAAAAATATGAAATAAAAAATAAATAAAGTGAAACCTTGCAAGAACTTGCAAATACTTGTGAAAACTTGCGAATACTTGTGAAATCTTGTATCTATTTCTCTAAAGAAGCATTTCTAGAAATTTAATAATTGCTAGAGAAATCAGTTGTATATTCTTGAATGTGTTAGAAGTTTGAGTTGGTATGCGCAAGGTTTCAAATTGTTGTTTGTTTTCTTACAAAGATGTTTTTGTAAAGTGTTGAAATAAAAATAAAATAAAATAAATTAAAAAATAAATAAATAAAAAAAATTGAAAAAAATAAAACAAAAACAAAAAATGAAATGATAATAAAAAACAAAATAAAAACAAAAAAGTAAAAAAAACAAAATAGAAGATCTAATTATAAACAAAAGATCTAATCTGATCTTGTAAAACAGAATTTAATTTCATCAAACTATTTCGAACTAATTCGAAATATTAGTCTAATATATGATTTAGGTTACAGATCTACTAATCTAACTTGGTTTTCTAGGTCTAAAATATTTTGAAAGTGTTCAAAATATTTTATATTTCGAAATATTTCGAAATTACTTACAAAATATTTTGAAAATTTGATTTTTCGAAATATTTTGAAATATATTACAAAATATTTTGCTTATATTATGGTTCAAAGATCTTATGTAAGATTACGCTATTATAAATTTGCTGATGTGGATTTTCTTTTAGAACCTTTTATTACTTTTTGTTTTATATTACTTGTTGTTTTTCTGTTATTATTATTTGTTATTGCTACTTGTTGTGATTGTTTACCCTTTGTTTATCTTTATTACATAGTTTTTGATATGTTTCTTTTATTTATTTTTTATTATGTGTTGTGATTCTTGTATTACCAAAACAGATTTGTGATTCAGAGTCAAGATCAATTTTTTAAAAATTCACAAAGTGCAAAAAAAATATCAATGATTTTTCATGACTTCTTCTATTTTTTTGCTACTTTTGTTCCTTTTACTTAAATCTCTTAAAAAACTAACTGTTTCTTGTTATTCTCATCTTTTTTCTTAGAACTTTGAGTTTAGTTTTCTAGTGGCCTTTGTGTATTTTTTGTAGCTTTTGTTAATTTTGTTTTTTAAAAATTTATATTTTGATGATTAGCAGAAAGAGTTTGGTTATAAAGTAGTTTTTTTATCTTTAGTTTAATTTAAATTATTAATTTTTTTGTAAAAAGTTTAAAGCTTAACTATAAATTATAAGATTTAAATTTTATTATAAAAATTTATTAAATTTAGCAAATACTATATAACAATATTTAAAGAATATTATTAATTATCACAGCTAATACTAATTTTGGTTGATACTGATTTTGATACCTATTTTAATACAAATTTTTATAATTTTTTGAAATATATTTTAATAGTTGAACTAGAATTTAGTGTTTTAATTATTAATCAACAAATATATATAAGTTTTAGTAAATATAATAAATTTAAATTAAAATATACAAAAATTAATATCAGCCAAAATTAGTATTAGCTACAGTACAAGACAGTATAAACCAACATCTTTTTTTAATAAAATATGCCAAATTTTAAAATTATATAATTAATTTATCAATTTTGATTGGCTAATATAATCTAATTAATTGTAATTAGTCAAAAATAATATATGAGTTTCTTTTTTTTATATACTGTATTAAATGCCAAATTTACAATTTTTTAGTAAACTTTAAATTGATATAACTTCTTAAAATTAAAATAAAGTAAAAATTTTTTCTAGCCAATTTGTAGCTTAGACTTAAAGCTACAAATTGGCTAAAACAAATTTTTTAAAAAAATTTTGTTTTTAAATTATATTAAGTTTTATAAAATATATATAAAAAGATACTGGTTTATGGTATCTCGCACTATATAATATTAATTAAAATATTAATACTAAAATTAAGATTAGTATTTTTTTTATTTTTATTTTTTAATTTGATGGTCTTGCCTATTACTCTTTTATTGAAAAATACCAGAACTTATATTAACAAGAAGATACGATTTTCTATACTATATTTCACATAAGTAAAGATTAACTTAAGCTCTCAAGAATGACCTATCTAGCAGCAATTGGCTTCATGTTGGATTTGAAGATATGAACCCTCTGATCTTTAGCTTTAGCAGCTGTATCACTTTATCAAAAAAACCAAATTAACGAAAGCACAGACACAAAAAAAGAAAAAAAGAGATAAAGGGGAATATGATAAAAGATACAAGCAAGAAAGAAAAAAAGTAAAGAGATGTTGAAAAAAAGAAAAAAAAATTTTGACTATTCTAATGATTACTATTATGAGCTCATAAATGGTTTATAAAAATTACATACTACTAAATAAAACTAGTTTTTACTATAGTATATGAAAGCTCAAAACCAGTGAAAAAATACTTCTTCAACTATAAAACGTAGGGGTTGGTACTTGATCCAAGTCATAGAACATTGTTTGATCATATTGTTATATTCAAAGCACATGCCTTAACATGTTTGTTGTCTTGTTATATTGATTTGGGAAGTAAACAATGCTAACTATTTTGGTGTATATAATATTGATCTTTTAGAGAGAGTAAGCTGAAACGTCCACTTTTTACAAAAATTTCCTCAAAAAAAAATGGTGGGCCAATGGAAGTATGTAAGGTTTTTCTTGTAAAAGTTACAGTAGTATAGTCCAGTTTTTCTGTTTCTACTTGATATTCTTGCACAGAGACACAACAGTAACATTGCTCTCAAAATATCCTTTTGGTTTGGATATCAAAAGTATGAGAGAGTCTACTTCTTTTCTTCTTGCTATTTCCAGAGACTCCTCTGGTGTGGATACTGAACGCACAGGAGAGTCTACTACAGAAACAGAAAGAAGTTTAACCTCTGTGCAAACTGTTCACAACACCCACACCTTGGTGTATTACATTTAAGAATTTCATCAACAACAGTTCATAAAAGAAAAGCTTGACCCAAGATACTGGACCTGCTTTTTGTTATATGCATGCTCCTCAGTGTTTCATGAATATAAGCTTTGTCGACAGCAAGTATGTAAGTATGTAGCAAGAATATCACAGTATCCACTTTGTTGCTTTTCTATAACTTTTCACTGTAGTTTGATTTTTTTGTTTGTTGACCAAAAGATCGTCAGAAAGAGTTGTTGAATAAATGATTAAGATTAGTATTAAAATTATAGTTAAGTATATAAATATATACAAAATTATATACAAAAACTTTTAATTAAAAGTATAAAATTAGATTATATAAAGTTTTAAAATTTTTAATTTTTTTAATTTTGGATATTTTTATCTTAAATTTATTTAGTATTCACTAAAGGCAAAATTTACCGTGATGTGTTTTTAATTATTATTACATAGTCTATAGAAAATTTGCTACAAATTTTCAAGCTAAAATTAAACTTTAGAGTTTAAGGCTTAAATTAAAGGTTAGGGTTTTTTGAAATGCTAAATATTTTACTTAGTATACAAATACCGATTAACAAAGTTATTTTTAAGTAGCAATATGTCCGGTAAATTTCACCTCTGGGTTAACATTAAAATCGTCCTTTTATTTTTAAACATTTAAATAAAAATTTCTTGACAACTATCTAACCAAATTAGATAAAATTTTATTTCAATTCTGTAAGTTTGTATATAGAATTAAAATTTTTCGTCAATTTGGTTAGGTAATTTTCGAGAAATCTTTATATAAAAATATATTAAAATGAAAAATATTTAGCATTCTCAATTTATATAATTTTATATAATTTATATTCTATTTTTGTGAAATTATTTGTATCGGTCTAGTTGGTCGAAAAATAGTGAATATACATACGTACGTACAGTATGTTCGGTCATATTGTAATTTGGATATTCTTCGATCATTTGGCCTAGATTGATGATCGACATCGGCCTGCATTAAGCTAGTTTTGAAGTTAGATTTAAGTTAATGTTAGGTTAGGTTTAAGTAAACTTATACCAAAATTATGATATATAGAAAAAAATTGTTTGCTTAATTTTGTCAATCACCGAATCCTTAAGTATTTTGTAACCTCATCATTTACTTTATTGCATTAATAAGATTTAATAATAGTTTTTCTAATAAAATATACAGTAAATAATTATTATATAATCTGTTGAGAAAACTCTCAGACTCAAATTCTAACTGATAAAACATATTCTCAAAAATATGTTTTTGAAAAATTATAGGATTATTAGAAGTCATTTTTAAATTATGAGATCTTGTGCAGTATAGATGACGCCTATTTTAAGTCAATTGATTAAATAATATACTTTATTAATGGTGTCACCTATACTGCACGAGATCCAAATTATGTAATTAAGAAAACTTATAAAGTTCAAAAAATCGTGTAAAACTTATGATTATGTTTGAAACAACAATCGGATAATAAATGATACCATTAAACGAAAAGGTTATATCAAAATCACTCTTCAAAAATTCATACAATGTTTTTTCTGTATTGCTTCATAATAAACGTATTTACAATGAAAAAAGGACAATTAAAACATCATTCTCTATCTCCAACGAATCCCAAAACATAAACAACTCCTCCCATTGATCCAATAATGACTTTTTCATGATCAACATCCATACATAAAGGCCCCATGTTATTTGTGGTCATTTGATCGGCCATATTTTCCCACAGCCCACCAAATCTGTTAATACCTTTTTCTTGTGAGTAAACATATATACTTTTATTGTTATGCGTCCTGCTATTAAATCTTGTGCTAAAAATAATCCTATCTTTAGTATTATCAGTTGTTCCGCAAAATATTTCCGCTTCAGATGTAACTTTCCGTTTTATCACTGGATCCATAGATAAATCCGGTTCAATTATAATTTCGTCTACACCTTTTGTTTTTTTTCCCGTTTGAATGTATTTGTTTTGCCAACGAAGTTGATATATTGTACGGGTTGTTGAACATGTTACATCCATTCCCAATGCAGAAAACCATTGAATGTGAGAATTATCTGGGATTTTGTATTGATGGATTTGGAGTTTTTCTTCAAGTGCATACGTACGAATCCAGCCATCACTATTTATAGCTATCAAATTATTGTTGCCCAAAAGCTGGATCCCAAGAAGCTGTCAAACAAATTATATAAGCATAAAAAAAAAATTTTTAACTCACAACGCTGTATTAAATATATCCCATACCATATTACCAAATCCTCTAAAGGTATGCAATTTCGTCCCTTCTTTCAAATCCCACACAATGACTGACATATCATGACCCGCCGTTACTATATGTCTTTTATTCATTGACAATCCCTTGATGCCGCGATTATGTGCTGTAAGTGTCAGCAATACTTCACCCGAATCCATGTGCCAAACATGTGCCCTACTTTAAATATGTAAAATTATCAGGAAACATGTAAGACAAAAATAATTAATTAATTAATTAATCAATTATGAGTATATACCCTTGTTCATTAAATCCAGCGGCAACCATCCTCGTGC